TGTTTATAAATTATTTATAGAAAATGCTCATAATTTCCGAAAATTGCAATTTCCAAATTATTCCATCAAGCTAATTCCCGAAAGTTACTTTCTCTCCGAAAGTAATTTTTCGAATTTTTTTTAGATTAAAAAAATGTTTTCTAACAGTTCAATACCGAGATTCAAATTCACACCTTCGCAGTTTAAATATTAAAATCATTGTAAAATGTCTAGAAACTTAGGTTTACTTGGGACTCAAATGAAAGCTCTGGTGTTCGACTACAAAAGTAGAAAAGTATTCAATTGGACTGGTGGAAAAATATTCTAATCAACTTTGTTCGATGAAACCTTCAGTAAACGCAATACTAAGAGAGTAGAATTATTCTATATAATTATGATTCCTTTATTAATTTATTATTCATGGTCTATAGAAGGGTATTCAATTCTCTCTGGTTTGATAGGCGGGCTTCATGAAAATTCGACGCAAGACAATTGTACTCATAAAAACCGCCTTACTTTCTCCATTCGTTCGAGATATCCGCCATGTTCGAGTTCTCATTTTCGATCCGATGGACGATATTGTTGCTTTCTTTTAGAGAGGATTATACAGGCACATAATGTGCGCTATAAAATGATGAAAGATGAAAGATCACGGGGTAAGGGAGCACATGATCCCCCCCAGGACGGAAATAACGGCGATGCGAGCTGGTTGATGCGCATGTGTTGTATACCGTGCTTTGTAGCGGCAGATCAAACTCGGCGGGTCATTAATTAAATCTGGCGGAGCCCAACGATCGTACCCGTGGGCCCCCGCGCCTCTCGAATTTATACATCAACATGAAAATCTGGTGGCTAGGGCACATGAGGGTTATAAATATCATTTCGATCGTCAGTCGTCTAGGTTGACGGCTCAGTCTGACACATCACGTCTGCAGCGTTATTCCTGCAGGAGAGGTCTTTACGGGATTATTTAGTTAGGTGGGACAATGCCATTCATAATGCCCTCCTCATTCGACACTTTTCACTCAAAACTTCCCCCGCATCAACAACAAACCGTGTCCGCGTGCGGCCTGTCATCTGGCGCGCACGCGGCAACACTCGACCGATAAAATTTTATGGCTCTTGTCTACTACTTTAAAATGTCTACTGGTACTTACTGGAATAAGATTTTGAGTTGTTCTCGTTTTTTGTTGTCTCAAGATTGAATTATCTGATTCTGTTGTTTTACCTGAAACAAAACCTTGAGCGGTTGATAAGGCGAAGAAGTAACATTGAGCTTTTTTCTAAATTAAGAACAACGTTTTTTCAATTCATTGTTGAACACTTTGGCTAAAATTTCGAATATGCTTCTTGGAAATCTTCGTCATGTGACAGTTTTACTCAAATTTCAAGGAATTTCGACGGGAAAAATTTAGAATGTAGTGAAAAATTAATAGGGACTGTACATTTTAGTGAAATGTTTCCATGAAAATCGATAGAAATCCGAGGAATTCAGATAAATACATTTTTGAGTTGTCGCTTGATCGAAAATTTAGCGTCATTTGTTTCTGAATATTTATGTTTTAATTTTCAAAAATTTTTATCACGTGACAGTTTTCTTGAAATTTCTTAGGATTTTACGGTTGAAAATTCAGAATTTGCTGAAAAAATCAGTAGACACTGGAAATTTCAGTTCAATTATTCCATGAAGACTCAAGTAAGTCAGAGAATTCTCGACTGCCTGCTACTAAATTTGGAATTCCCTTGAATCTATAGTGAAATTTGAAATTTTGTGATTTTTCCCTCTCTAAGTCGAATTCAACATCCCTCTGCTGAAAATTACTCGTCAAGTGTCCATGAAATATCAATTTTTGTTATAACAGTATATCTCCTAAGGACTACTGGACCGCCATAGATCATCTGTTCTCTTATCGATTTAATTTTCCTACGAATTCTGCACAATTTCTCATTAAAAAATTGTTCTTAACCCCCGATCTATAAAACAGAGTTTCTAAATTAATAAACTTCCCTCCATCCAAGAGATAATCAAGCTCTTCGCATCCCCGAATCATTTCATTTGCATGCAAGCATATTCTGATACTCAATCCATATTAATCCTCCCTCCTGAAATATGTTCTCCATCAAATCGACAACAAAAATAAATTTGATACACCTTGTATTTAATTCCTCAGCAAACCCCACACCATCACTCACACTTCAATACGACATGAAAACGATATTAATAAAAATACTCGGGGTGGACATCATTAGAATAATCGCACAGTGTAATCTAAATCGATCGATCTGTTCTGGACAATTTTTCCATCGAAAGCAGTTTATCACATGACTGAATTCATTTGGCCTGTGTAGCGCCTCAGCGACGACGTCGATGAAGCCGTGATGTCTACGCTGGGAACTCCGCGGGGGTCCCACTGAGAACTCTTGTACATACTTATATATACCACCGCAGTTGGAGCCATGGTTTTTATTTAGTGCGATAAAATGCATTCATCGGGCGCTTTATCCGTACGATTATTTCTTTTCCAAGTCCCCTCCCCCTCTCTTTTCCCACCTATTATTCTCATTTCTTCTTCACTTTATATTAACGATGCATTATTTTATTACATGCACCATACGTGAGACACTCGAACATTCTCTCCGGCTATATTTATGCACTTGTAGGTTATAATATGCCTCCATGCGTTTATAACTATTTTAATTATATACCAATGGAAACGTATTCTGCACAGTTTAATTGCAAACTCCAGTAACAACCGTTCAAGAATTTAAATTCACCAATTAAAGAAAAAAGCCAGGCAGACGTGAGCAATCTGCTACGATGATTTTCCCCCCTCGTTGTTGATTTCTATTGTTTTCACATGACGCATGGAAAAATATATTGAATAATAAAGTTAAATACGTATGCCGGTTGATTACGCAAGGACTTTCCGGCATCGTGTGACACATTAACGATTCAAATGTGATTATCATGCTAGCAATAACTTGCAAATGCATTAGATATCGTTGTTTCCGTATGACTATTCGACGATTATCCACCAATACGCACCAAATGTCCCCATCAATTTCCGTATACCCGCATTTCCTTTTCATAAAAAGATAGACGATAATGGCTCAGCAACAGCGTGACATTGCGATAGTGCATTAATACCAGAAAATTAACATTGCGATTATCAGATGTGTTACCTTCTCTACCCTCATTTCAATAATAGTTCATAGTCATATGTATGAAGCATTGGAATTTATAAAACAAAACTATCAGGTTGAAAAATAAAAACAACAGTTGACAATATTCGGCCATCGTGAATGCATCGAGTGTTTGTTGCAGTGTTTAGTACACATGAATAATTGTATTCAAAACGTTTAAATTAATCGAGGGTTTATAAATAAGCTTGAGTATTGTGGTGTCTCGTTGTGGGGTTTTTTGGCACCCCCTCCTGTGCTGGTTGTGGCACGTTGCACTTTGTCACTGGGTTTGGACACCCACGAATTACACGCAGTGAGAAAGCGTGGGCGAGCACAAGGCAAAAGATGCGTGGATTTTCACGCTGGAATTAACATTGTTTCATGTACAACCTCACGCGGCAATAATTGGGTGGAAATTGATGGGAAAATAGAGGAAAACGTTGATAATTATGAGTGGAAATCTTCTGCTGTCTATTCTGGTAATGATGGATGAGAGAGAGGGGTTAATTAATAAATTTGGAATGCAGTGACAAGTGTCGTGACTAGAGACAAATGATTTTTGGTGATTCTGGGGAGTCGAGTAATGAGTTGAGTTGTTAATTGGGAGATTGGGGGGATATTGTGGCAGTGAGGTGGGATTAGGGAATAATTTATGGCGCTGGTTGGGCAATCCTTTTGTTTTGAAATGTGTGAGGCATGAGTTATAAAATTCTTACATTACTTTTGCACACACGAATTGTATACCACCCGCTGGTTATAAATCTCAGTGGCCCGCGGCCCATTCCAGAGCTCTCTCTCTCTCTCCAATTTCATTCGCTAAATTTAGCTATTGTCACTACAGTGGTATATTAAATTCTGGGACATCTTCACGTACACGTATTCAAGTAGGGGAATGTGAGTTAATCACTCGGCACTTCTGCCGGATTTCACCACCTCTTCTGTATCCCTTCCGCTGAGAAAGAATTATAGGGATTTTTTTCTCCCGGGGAATGGACGAATGTTTGACTTTTGATGACATCTCTGCAGATTGCTGGATTTATGATCATGTTTTGTTGAGGTTGGACTTGGCAGCGGCGAGAACATGCCGACGGTCGAATATATTGAATTCTCAATGGGCTGTGGGGGATTGAAATGTATGAGTTCAGGTGTGAGATTGTTTAATTTGGGTGTGATTTACCTAGAACCTTGCCGTCTGTTTGGAAAGGGTGACATGTTCTTACCCGGTTTCATATCTTTAGAGTTATAGTCTCTTCACGAATGTAGATAGAGGGGAACTATTTCAAATGAAGAATATCGTTCTTAAAATTGAAAATATTTCCAACTGGTGAAGTATTTTTGTTTCGATCAAGGAAATATTTGTTTGCATTCATAAACTATTTATTTGATGTGAAGAAAATAGTAGAATTAATGTTCTGAATGCAGAATAATATTCTCGATTCTGTAGCAACATCTTTGAAAAAAAATAAAATAAAAGTCTGTATGATGAATACGTGAAAAGAAATGATTTATTCATCTGAAATTCCGCAAAGATCGATTTGTCATTCACCTACAAATCGATCATCTGCTTCGACCCCGATCGATTGATATCGATCATCGTTGGAGGTCCAGAATCATCGGATTGATTCATTCGGTTCTTTTTGATGAAACTAAATCAACAGAGGAGAGGACCCAAATGTTTGTATAGGATTTCTCATGTATTTTCTTAAAGTCAAACGCTGAAGAATAAATATTGTCACACGTGTTCGGAGCCGCCATGAATTACAAAAATCAATCATTTTTTCATTGGATAAGAGTGAATTTTAATTTTGACTGGTGCTGTTTTTTTTTTCTTGTTGCAGTCACATCAGGAGGAGGATCTTTCGGATCCAGACCTGCAGGATGAGGAGAGTGGTGAAGAGTTACCGCAACAGCCACTGCAGGGAAACAATCACTCGTCCTCGGATACATCGACAGGTCCGGCTGGTACTCCTACGCCACTGACACACTTGAATAGTTTGATGAATGCTCATCACCCACATTTTTTGTCAAAACTCAAGACAGAGGTTAGTACTCGAGAGGTTTCGTCACTGATTGCACGGAGAGAAAAGTTGGATAAACATTATTTAGAAAACCGCGGCGAAATTTACTGTACGAAAGGTAATCGTGGAGATTGTAATTCAATATCATGATGATTAATATTCACTAGATGACAAACGTCTGGTTATTTTTTACCGACTTTTTTCTTCGTGTGGAGACAATATCCTTTTTTTTTATTCAAAGATGAACATTTTCAATGCAAGCATATTATTTCCTAACTTATAAAGGTAGTTTTGGCGATTCAAGAATTAAAAAATTTCTCATTCAGCAACACATTAATAATATTTAATGAGATACTTTCAAAACGAGAATATTGCATTCTTCGATGGAGAACCTTTGCTAAAATTGACAACTCTCTCGTTGCCATTTCTAGATAGTGTATTCTCATTTTAAGTACATGCAAGTACTTTTCACAGCTTCCATACTACACTATAAACTTACTATAGATATAGCTCAGATTTCTTAACTAAAAATTTTGGAAGGGCTTTCCACTGATTAGATTTCCGTCTTGTCTGATGATCTAATCTTCCATTCATTCAACTACAGCCAAATGACATGGATCTCCTGAACAACAAATCTGGTCTCGAAGCCCTTCAAGCCGCAATAGGCAGTGGCAGTTTCAACCTCCCATTCAATTTTGCACCTCCAGCGGCATTTCTCACCCCCCAGCACCCCAACAACAATCCACAAACGCCAGGGGGAGGTGGAGGTGGTTCAAACAATGCTGTAACCTCATCCGCAAGTTCACACTCCAGTGAGTCATCTCAAGGCTCAGCGAGAAATCTCAGTGAAGCTCGCGAGGGCACTGGCCAGTCACAAAACACCAACAACTCAAACTCACATCAACAGACCAGCTGGAGCTTCGAGGAGCAGTTCAAACAGGTGCGTCAGGCAAGTATCGAAAATCTGCCTTGTTTGGCTATTTCAATTCATTACTGATCCATTCCTCATATCACTTCAGTAGAGAACATTAGCTCAGCGGTATTCACGTGTATTGCACGCAATAAGAAGACGAATCACACTGATACGCGAATTAATTTGTAGTTAATACCCAGCTCTTTTTGAAGAACCGTGAACTACAAAGAATCAATATTTTTTACAATTCATGATAGATTGGTGACAAGATTTGTTAACTGTGAATGGAGAGTGACACTGTCTCAACTTTTCCCCACGAAGAGAAATATTCAATAAAAATTACGTATCTTTTCCGTAATTCCGGGGCAAAATGCGGTTGTACGAAATTTTACGGAACTGTCCCAGAATTTTTCCAGAGCGTTCCGTGATTTTTATCTGAATCACCTGCGAAAAATTATGATACCGTCACTCAAATTTTCTGAGTCGATTCCGTAATCGGTGAGCGAATTGTGAGTTCCGTAATTTTTACTGAACATTTCTCTCCGTGCTCTGAACTGAATCATTTGTTAAGGATTGAGGAACATCCGGCTGATCAAATTCAACTCTGCCATCTGTTCATAGTTAGCAAACCTTGTTAACAATAAATTAATGGTTGGATCAATGCATGAAATGATTAATCCCGTGAGATTTAGACCATCGAATCAAGTTTGTAGGCTACAAAAAATATTATTACCTTCACCTAACGTTATTAATGATTGGCCCCATTCAATTCTCGCGATATTGTCAACAAAATGCTTATCATATCCGTAATGATCAAGGGTAGTATTGAATCCTAACAGGTAATCCATATTATTCGAATACCACAAGTATTCATCCTCCCTCCTTCATTAAACTGCTGAATTACAAGTTTTAACGTGTCGGCTTGGTTTTTAATTAATGCAATGAAATGGCCAGTTAATTATTATTTTTACACTGGGGGCGAGATAATTGCCCCATACACTTGGCCCTTCCTCTCTCTGTCCAACGCGAGAGCCAACTTATGGAATTGGGCCCAGCAGAGAGAGGATCGTCTTGTTAACGCTTTTTGTCCAAGTTGAATCGTTTCCACTCAGTACGCGGGAGCGAAAGAAGGGCGGTCAGGTATAATTCTCCTTTTTTCGGTTTTTGCGCATACACCCGCAGGGGTGTGGTATTGGATTACCATTTAGATTGGTATTATCCATGTGTGATTGCATCCTTTGCATAGCTCCTGACAAAATTGCAAGAAAAAAAACGAAAGAACATTCACAGAAATTATTTTCTTCTTGAATTGAGGAGAATTTACTCAAATCAAGAGGACTTTCCATAATTTTTATATTCTCTTCTCAAATTCCAAGGCGTTGGGAAAATTTTTCCTTTTATCAAATACAAATTGTGCAAATTTCAAGTATTTTTTTTCTTATTCTATCAGAATTTGATGAAGAATGTTTTTTATTACGGGAACTTGAGGCAGATAGTTCGAAATTTTGTCTGAATTTCTCGTGCAAATCTCGGAATTTTCAGGGAGTATCATCGTTGCAAAATCGACAGTTCCATTTATTTTCTGATCTGTTTATTGGAAGATCACTGACAGCTGTCAATGTCTGTCAAATTATTATGATTGAAGAGATGAAAAAAATTGGATGAAAATGGAAAATCAGAAAATTTTTGCTCTCAATATTAATGCTCAACTGAAATTGCCACCAAAAATGGGAAATTTCACAACCATTTTCTCCCAAATCGAATTCAATGTAACTTTTATCAAAATTACTACCCGATTGTCTATGAAATTTCAATTTTGTTTCAACAATTCTCAATAGTTGTACGATACGCGTGATACAGAGAAAGTGTTTTGAATTTGGTCAGCAGTACTTGATAGTAAGGAATTCTGTTCTCAATGGAAAAAATTCGTTGGGTTCAAATGTATTTCCATTACTTTCACCCCGTCAATTTCAAAATGAGACAAATTGCAAATGCGAGACCACATGGGTACGACATACAGTGAAGTAGATCCAAAGAGTCTCACTCGCGGTTCATGGAGAGTAATAGCACGAAAACAAGAACGATATACAAGAGACGTGAAACGAGGATAGGAATGAAAATGAAATGCTCCACCCACTCAGTGAGGAGAAGAAGAGAAGAAACTTTGCGTCTTCTCTCGCATCGCATCCATCATTCGTCCGTTGGAGGGCGTACATTGCACGGTCTTTAATCTTTTCTCCATCTACTCTACGTCTTCTCGCGGTATTCCCAACGTCACGTCTATACCCCCGGCATTATCTTTGTTCTATTTTTCCAGTCCTTCGAGCTTCAATACATTTTACACTGAACTGATAAAGAAAAACATTGAGTGAAACAACGAAATTGATATCGGTAAATAATGACGACGGTGTGTTTGATAATGGGCTTTGCGAAAGGACTTATCATTGTTCATTTTTTTTAGAACCTTTTTTCCTCCTGTGCCGACATCTATTAATCATTAAACTGTTGGTATTTTTTTTTTTCATGAAAGTGTTCATGGCATTTTTTACTCATCTTGTGAGTCCAGCAAAACTCATAGAGACGATTGCATCCACTGTTAAAAGGAAATGCTTTCGGAAATTTTAACGTGTTCAAGTTCCACGGAAATTTCAGGAAATCTTGTCATTGAAAAATCCAATAGTCCATTGATTTTCAAATGATCTGGAAATCAATAAAATGCTTCATTTTTCAGATCAATCATTCTGTGAAAATTCAGAAAAATCAGGAAAATTCAGGGGAAAATTGAAAATTCGTTTCATTTTGTTTCTGAATATTCATGTTCCACTGAAAATTCAATCAAGTTGTTAAATTTCCATCTCACTCCCACTTTTTACTTAAAAGTTGAAATTTCATTACCATTTTTTCCCTAAATCCCATTCAATGTGAATCTCACGAGATTTACCATAATATCTTCGATGAAATTTCAAAAAGTTTCTAACGGTGAAGCACATCTAAGTGAATTTTTAATTAATGAAAAATTCAGGTCTATAGTTAGGGGGCAGGGGCCAAAATAGACACTCTTGCGTTTTTTATGTTAATAACTTATAAATTATGAAGCGTAATTCTTGTCCCCAAGGGAAACCATAATTTTTCTCTATGATCAACAAACCTGCAATTACATTGAATATTCCCAGTAAATAATCCATAATTCCAAACATTCATCCAAATTTTTTGGCATTTCAATATCAATACCCCAACAAGTCCCGGAAAGCTGTACGTTAGCATCATCCATTAGAACTACTGCAAAGCTCACCAATGCCTTCAGTGAATCAGTCCAATAAAATCCAAAAATAATCCCAAACAATGCCAACACTGTGATTGATGTAAAAGACATTGCGTTTTGCACATTAAGCGTAAATGGCCAAGTGGGCCAGATTCACCAAGCGAATATCCAAATATATTCCCCAAACGATTCTGTACACACAACTCAATAGCCCGAGATTAGACGAACTAAATCGCAATGGGTAGTGAGTGCATCACGTCTAGACAGCGAGTAGTGGGGACTCTAAAATTCCGGGGATAAGAGTACTTTGGACAGGTTTATGGTCAGTTGGTTATTGTCTTGAAATACGGTGAGCGCCGGGTTCGCTGTGGGGCCCCCGAGGGGCCCACATTGGCGACTCACAGAGCCTCTATAAACCCTTTTACCCCAGATAAATGCCCTCCCCTCACCGCAGACCAATTCGCTCGTCAAAAATAAAACTCTTCGTTATAAAAAAGAAAAAAGAGGGGGAAAAAAAAATCCAAACTCAAGTGCATCGATCCCTCGCAACAGTGGACACAAAGTAAATGTAACCAATACATATTTTCTCCATATATCCATACATATTCCTTATGTATATCGCTACTCGTCTGGGGCTGCAGCTACCAATGGGGGCCCCAAAGTAATACTGTAGCACTATACTTTGCAGCCATTGTGAAATAACTCGTAAACCTGCAAATTGCCGGCTATTTCGCTCCCATATACTTCTTGCAAATGTGTGTGCATGTATTATACGTGTGTAGATGGTCTTTTTACACCGATTAGTTACATGTGTATAACTATGCATATGTATGCATTTTGTTCGATGAGAGAGGAGCAAAGGGGGAGGGAGAAAAAAGAAGGAGAGATACAACGGTAGAGGGGTTGAGGCGAATGGTTCATGATGGGAAGGGATGATGGGAGAGGGGGAGGGGGGGGGGCAAAAGGGGGAGGAGGGAACAACGCACACTTTTATTATTGAAACACACACTGATTCATTCACTAGTCTTTCACGTTCATGGCGGGCGTGCCAAACCAACTCTTACGAGTCCGCCTTTGTGCGCGCCTGCATTATTCGCCTATTCTGAATAAAACCCCTTTGCGTTTCACTTGCCACCCCACCACTGAATTTTCCGCCGGCAGGGAGTTGTATGTTCGCCGGATTAACAGGGACTTATCATTGTCATTATGCAAATGACTAACTTAAATGTGGAATCGCTGGCCCTCGTCACACGGCGATTTTTTTTTCTGCATTTTTTTTTTTTTTTTCATTTTCATTTTTATTGGTTCCGTGCTGGAGTGAATGTACTTTTGTCTTGGGTGGATTGTTGGAGATTGTGTTACAAGCTCTTTACGTATTTTCATGTTTTTTTGCGGAGAATCGGCGACTAGGCTAGTTTCTGTGACATGATATTTCGTTTGTAGGTTTTTTTTTTTAGGTGGGCGGTAGTTTTGTTTGACGGTCTATTGTTTTATCTTTATTTTTGTAAAGTTATTCATTACCCGTAGCATCACGTTTAGATATCGCGGTTCAAATTGACCTCGGAGTTTCTAGGTTTTTTATGTCGTTCGGGCTTTTGTTTAAAAGGTTTTATTGTGATTTATGGGACGTCGGACTCTTGGGATTTTGTCACGGTATTTTACATTTGTTTATTGATATAAATTAAACATTTTTTTTTCTAACGTCGCAGTGATCAATATGACCTGGATTTTATCGTGAATATTATCTTGGTTGACGTGTAAAATTTATGAGGCG